GGTGTGGACTGTTGTACATATATGTCTATGTGAAAGTTTATTCTGCTTCATTTAAGTCTTCACAGCTCGTTGAACGTTTTATTTTCTTATTTTTTTAGCTTCCGCCACCCCCATTATCGTAATATTGTTAAGCAGGTCTTTGGTAATCATGAATTATTAGCCGGTTACGACACTAAACCTATAGGGACGGATTTGGGTTGTGATAGTCAATGTAATTACATCCACCATTGTCACAGTTGGTATGTTCTCTCTCTCTCGTTATATATATATATATATATATACATAATTTCTTCTCTTGCAGAAAAAAATTATAATAGTTGGTTTAGTTGGTAGATATTATAAAATTGTAAGTTCAACATAGAATTACGCAACAATATTATCAAAGTTACGTGATGAAGGAATAACTTTTGAACCTGATAATGGATTTGGGTTACTTTTGATAACTTCTTCAAGTGTTAAAAATTTTGACCATTCAATGTGTTAAGAAATTTTCATGTTTGAGTCTGTATTCTTGAACTTGAAAAAATGAAAATTTCTGCAAGCGTTAACAATTTTAACCGTACAATGTGTTAAGAAATTTTCATGTTCAGGCCTGCATTTCCAAACTTGAAAAAATGAAAACTTCTACAAACATTAACAATTTTGACTGTTCAATGTGTTAAGAAATTTTTATGTTCGGACCTACATTCCCGAATATTACTTATTTGTTCAAGAATGCCATTTCAAACAAATAAGTAATGTCCGGGCCTCTATTTGGCCAAAGGGTTGCCACTGTTACTGTCAGAATATTGTCATTGCCAAAGAAGTGTAAGTAGTCAAATGGTTACCACTATTACCACCGGAATATTTTTGAGGGTGGGTGGGTTTTGAATGTGAGATTTGGGGAAGATGAATGGACGGTGATGGAGGTAGGTACTCTTATAAATCCTAATTCATGATGTAATGGGTGTGTAGATTTAATTGTGAGATGTGGTGTCCTAAAATTAATGATGTCATTTTTTTTTAATTTTATTTGAGGTTGTTATTGCAAAAAAAAAAAGTTAAAAATTAGGAGGTCCAAAATAATTTATAGGGTGCTAATAGCAGCAATTTAACTTATTTGTTGTTTGAAATATAATGACATTTTTTTTAATGAATAATGTTAGAGCTTTTTTTTGTTATAAACTTCTATTTGGTTTGATTTAGTTTTCAGAATCTATTTTCAAATTTTTTTATAAGAAAATAAAATTAAATTGGTGAAAAAAATTAAAAACATATCATTTTTATATAATTTTGTCTTTTGGGAGAATAGAAATAATTTTTTTAAAATAATTTTTTTTGATATTTATTTTCGTTAAATTAGTTTTTATTTTTTCAAAAGTCAAATATGGCAACAATTTTGATGTAATTATTAAACCAATCCGTTGAATCAAAAAATTCAAAACTAAAAACATTTCATATATTAAACATATCGATTATACATTAAAAACCTAATAACCATCCATTACATGATAATCATCAAAAAATATCTATTAACAACAAATATAACCATCCAAAAATATCAACAAAAACAATCGCCCATTACATGATCATCATCCAAATACAAATTAAAAATTAATTTGGTAAAAAAATAAAAAAAATAAAAATGTAAAAAATTTATTATTTTTAAATAATTTTATCTTTCGTGAGTATAAATAATTTTAAAAAATTTGAAAATAATTTTGACAGTTGTTTTTGTTAAATTAGTTTATATTTTATCAAATTGATGACTTAGCCCTTGAAATGGGTCAATAATATCTTCAATTGTCCTTATTTGAAACGAGTTTTAATATTCAGAATCAAATGTATTACAATTGAAATATTAGAGACTAAAGTGATACAAATCTCAAATTACAGAGGTCGTTAGTGTAATTTGCCTAAATGAAAACTTTGCATTTAAAAATGTACCCTTGTGAAATTATCAATTTTATTCGAAAGTTTTTCTGTTTGCACGTCACAAATTTCTGAGTTTACGTCACTTTGTCTTTTGAATATCAATTATTGACAAAAAAAAAATTGATTATTCAAATATCACTTACAAAATTAAAATACAATTTAGTACTCGACATCTGAACAATTAATCGTGGATAGACAGTGACTGGTGAAAGAAGAAGATTATGGTAGGGTGTTGGCTGGGTTATGGTTGGACGAAAAATGGACTATAGTGGTGAGGTGTTACAAAATATAAAGTTATTATAGTTGTCGCAAAGTCATGGAGCAAAGAAAGATGATGGACTACCGGGGGTGGTAGTCCACTGGAGAAAGTAACTCGTCTCCACAGGCTTGACTCAGGGTCGAATCTTAGGGGGAGTGTGGAAGTGTTCTCTTTGAGACCCCCCTCGTATTCCAGTTCGAACTCTCGGCGGCCTGCGATATATAGTTGAGCTCCCCTGGTGCCCTGATGGTGGGTCCCACACATGGTGGGGGTTAATTCCTGACTGGCAACCGGTTACCCCGGGGTTAGGGCTCACGGGGCCGTGATGACACCTCAGCGCCCTTTTTCTATGATCAAAAAAAAAAAAATGAAGTAAAATAGGATTTGCATAGTGGATTGTACGAGATTTATTAAAATCAATTTATAACATACTTGGCAATGCGTCAATTTTAGATAAAGGAGACATATGCAATGAATAGTAACTGGATACATAATAAAGGGAGAAAAACTGGAATTGCATTTTTTTTTTCTTTGGTAATTAGACACAATTTTAAAGATTAAAATTGAAAATATAATCAAATTGTGGAGGAATTACTCAATAGTAGTAGGGGTATAAGAAAAAGTGACATAACTTAATTGACTGTTCAATACTGATCAAAATCTTAACTTTCGGTCTGTTTTTCATAACTTATGATTTGTTTTGATTTTGAAAAGTTTTACACGGATACATGCCGAATTGACTGCAATATTATATTTAACACTTTTATATTTTAATTATTTGAGTATTATAATATATGTAATAAATAATATATGTTTTGTAATAAAAATTAGGAAGGTATTAAAAGAATAATTTTCACTATTTTTCTTCATTTATTTTAATGTGAGATTTTACAAATTTTTGTATATTCATTTAAAATCTGATAAGAATTCTTCCTATATACAAAATTGATAAACCGAAAAAACTGAATTGTATTATGTGGATTGTTTTAATTTTTGGGTTAACAAAACCGAAAAGTTTGGTTCAGTACTAAATTATCTCTCAATTCCAACTGAACAGTACCATTTACATCCATACTCAATAGTAGGATAGAAAAAAAAAATATAAAATTTAATTTGTATTCCATCACAAAATGAGTTACGCCCACTAAGTTTGCATAATTTTTTCTTCTATCAAACTTTAAGTAATTTTCTTTTAAATTATGTAATAATGTCAATAATTTTTATTTTCATTTTACAATAAAAATAATAGACGAGAGAATTTGTAATAAAAAACTAAACCTTAATAAAAGTTTCTGTCAATTCATATATTCATGAAGGATTTTCTATAATTTCATTAAATTTCAAAAAGGTCATTGTAAGTTAAAACTAAACTTTAAATGAAATTTTTATTGGGGAACGCTTAAGAGTTAGATTTTTCTCTAGTCTGAGATCAAATTGAAATGTATTACTGGATTTGTAGGGCACGAGTCATGTTTTTATAATTTAAATCGTTTAATAAATTTTACATATTATATAATTTAAATTATTAAAATAAGATATGTGATGATCCGTGCATCCGAACAGCACGCTAGAGAGAATCAGTTTCCTTTTACTCAATCTCAAGAAATAAATTTCCTTTTTTTTTTATTATTTTTTTTTGCAAGTTTATTGAACTTTGGGGAACTCATTGTAATTTACCAAAATATTTTAGTTGCGAGTGAGAAAACCACTTACCATTCCCAACTACCAGGCAATCTGACAGTGAGACACGCCACGGCACGGCACCCCACCCCACTCTCTCCGGTTGGCCAATCAAAAAGCAGCTCTAACTTGTGGGACCCACTTAAATAACCCAATCTTGAAGCAATCAAATTACCATCTTCGAATCATCTTCAAATCGACGGTTCTCAACATTCCACGTCATACCACACGTTAAAAAAGTAAAACCTTGACTCCTCAATCCAATATCCAATGTACCAATCCACACACACTACACTATATATGCCCCACAAGCACCGCCTTCAACAACCCTCGTCTCGCCGGAAACCGCCATAGTTTGTATAATTTTTTCTTCTATCACACTTTAAGTAATTTCCTTTTAAATTATTTAATAATGTCAATAATTTTTATTTTCATTTTACAATAAAATAATAGACGAGAGAATTTGTAATAAAAAACTAAACCTTAATAAAAGTTTCTGTCAATTCATAAATTCATGAAGGATTTTCTATAATTTCATTAAATTTTAAGAAGGTCATTGTAAGTTAAAACTAAACTTTAATTGAAGTTTTTATTGGGGGACGCTTAAGAATTAGATTTTTCTCTAGTCTGATGTCAAATTGAAATGTATTGTTAAATTTGTGGACACGAGTAATATTTTTATAATTTAAATCACTGTATAATTTAAATTATTAAAATAGCATCCGTAACGATCCCTATGCATCCGAACAGCACACTAGAGAGAATCAGTTTCCTTTTACTCAATCTCAAGAAATAAATTTCCTTTTTTTTTTATTATTTTTTTTTGCAAGTTTATTGAACTTTGGGGAACTCATTGTAATTTACCAAAATATTTTAGTTGCGAGTGAGAAAACCACTTACCATTCCCAACTACCAGGCAATCTGACAGTGAGACACGCCACGGCACGGCACCCCACCCCACTCTCTCCGGTTGGCCAATCAAAAAGCAGCTCTAACTTGTGGGACCCACTTAAATAACCCAATCTTGAAGCAATCAAATTACCATCTTCGAATCATCTTCAAATCGACGGTTCTCAACATTCCACGTCATACCACACGTTAAAAAAGTAAAACCTTGACTCCTCAATCCAATATCCAATGTACCAATCCACACACACTACACTATATATGCCCCACAAGCACCGCCTTCAACAACCCTCGTCTCGCCGGAAACCGCCATGATCCGCCTCGCTGCCGCCGTTCTCGTACTCTCTTTGTTGGCTGTCGACGGCCGCGAAATCCCCGACGACTTGATCAGATTGCCTTCGGAAGCTTCGAGATTCTTCAATAGCGGTGGTGGTGCCGATGATGATGGGGATGATTCTGTAGGGACGAGATGGGCTGTTTTGATTGCGGGATCTAATGGATACTGGAATTATAGGCACCAGGTGATTCTGCATTTGATTAATCCGAGCTTGATTATCTAAACAATTCGAGCTTGATTACCTAAACAATTCGTGTTTGGTTGGTGCGATTATCTTAATTTTGCTCTTTGCCGTTGATCGTTGTCTCTTAGGGTTTATTATTATGTTTGTTTTCCGTAAAAAAATGGGAAAAAGAAAAACTTGGTACTTTTTTTCCGTCTAATTTAAAAAATAAATAAATAAAAAATTGAAACCATTTGAATTTAATTGAGTATATAACATTTACCCCCAACTGATTGGGACACAAGGGTTTGTTTGATTTGCTATGTCTAATTTTCTAATAATCTTGTTTGATAGAATGAGCTCGAATTAGTAAAAATTTATTGAACTTCATGGTTTCAGTTTATGTAGGTATTTCAGACAAAAACTAGTAGTCCAGAAGTGTTTATATATCTAGTTTTAAAAAAGTACTGGTTCTATTGCTCCTGTGAATTACTGTAATTCTTTGGTTTTATGGAAATTGGTGCAACAAAAATTAGTGAAAGCTTGATGTTCTGTTTGGTTGGGGAGGAAAGCGTTCCAGGGTGAAGCTTTTGAGGGGAAAAGTAAGGAAAGTTTATAAATTATAATCCTTTGTTTTTCCTTTCGTGGGCATAATTTTAAACCTCAGACTTGTTTGACTGGTGAAGGAAAAACAACATGACTTAGATTATATGTGATTTTTTGTTCTCTACTTTTCCTCACTTAACAACAGGACGACAGATGGAGTTGCTGATTAATTTAGAGGATATGTGCTTCAAACTACTTGCATAGCATGCCAATTGAAATTGTCACCAGTCATCGGTGTTTTTTTTTGGGGGGGGTTGCCCTATGCAGGGAGATCACTTCAACTAATCATGCTGATCATACCTCGGATACAGTGGAGCTCTCTTTGTGGGCCCAATAGTTGGAAGTTGATGTTGTATATATTATTTTTAATTGGATGGCTACTTAATGGTGCACTAAACTCATTTTAGTGAATGCTACGCAACATACTGCGTGATAGCTTTATCTGAATTTCATATGCGGCATTGTGACTTGTGTTGTTTAGCTTAGCTATGTTATTCTTCTAATCTTTCAATGGATATTTTTGTCGGACTTGCATTATGTTAAATCTTTGTTTGTTGCTGTCCACTTTCCGATGTAGATGAGCGAGTATCTACCACCACAGTTTTGTATTAACTTTAACTTTGATGAACGTTCTTTAATTAGTCCTTATATGCAGTGGCATACAGGTTGTTTTTCATCTGGATGGATTCATAAATTCACATCATGCCATTCATTCATGCTATTTCACCTTATGAGAAATATTGTTTAGTTTGTGAACAAGACTTGGCAAACGTGGTTATGATTGATGTTGCTGGAATGCAGGAAGTGATTGATTGTAGTTTTAAATAAATAATGAAGACTTATAAAAAAAAAAAAAAAGTAAAGGATGCTGAGCGTTTTCTTAACAATGATTGGAAGGAGACAAAGGTTAACGACTAGTAAAACGGGGTTGATATATTTCCTCGATTCCTTGTACCTCCACAGTTTAATATCATGAATCTCATGACGTATTTATGTGTGTTCTGTCTAGGGCTTACTTTTATTTTATGTGTTTTCCCTTTCATTTATTGATTCTAATATTTTATAGTTTTCTTTTTTAGGCTGATGTTTGTCATGCATATCAACTCCTAAAGAAAGGTGGGCTTAAAGATGAAAACATCATTGTTTTCATGTATGATGACATTGCTCAAAATGAAGAGAACCCCAGGCCTGGAATCATAATCAACAGTCCACATGGTGATGATGTATACAAAGGAGTGCCAAAGGTCTGTGTTCTTTTTGTGCATTAGGTCAATTTTAAATTAATGAAATTGTATTCTTTCTTGCTCATTTGGTGGGTTTTTGTTTGAGCAGGATTATACCGGGGAAAATGTCACTGTTAACAACTTCTTTTCTGTTATCCTTGGAAATAAGACTGCTCTTACAGGGGGAAGTGGAAAGGTTGTGGATAGTGGTCCAACTGACCATATTTTCATATTTTACAGTGATCATGGGGGTCCTGGGGTGCTTGGTGAGTAAGCACTCTCTCTCTCTCTCTCTCTCAAGCATTCAGTCTGCATTTTGTTGGTTGCTTGGATTGACTATTCATCTGTATCTATATTCGAGAAAATAAGGAACCTAAAAAATATACTGTGGACTTCCTGTACGCTAGAAGAGAGGATCGTTTAGCAACTTGGTCTATCACCAATTCAAAAAAAATCTCTATCTGGATGATCTTGGAATTTTACGGTGTAGGAACTCTGCATTTAATCTATTTTGGTATATTTCTAATATATTTATCATGGAAAGCCCAAAAAAAAGGGTTATATTTCTGATCTAGGTGTATGGAATTCAGGTGATTAAGAGATTTCTGAAGCCTCAGTCCAAAATCTGTTCTTGTGCTTTATTTTGATATTAAACTTCATATAAAACAGAAAAGGGTAAAGTTGGTTTCTGGACTTTAGATTCATCAAAGTGTGCAAAAGGGGGGATACTTACCTAGCCACTCTTATAGGAAATGAAAATGTTCGGGAGCCCCTTGTTCAAGAGGAAATAACCGATTCACATTTATTGACTTAGTTCTTGGATGTCTTGCGACGGCAATTTACAAATATAATTTGTTCACTTGAATTTTTTTTCTCTCTTCCCTTAGAATATACAGTCTAGGCTCAAATTTTGATAGGTAAACATTCAAATTAGAATGGGGAAAATACTATACAAATTCACAGATGTGGCTTGCAGAAATTGAACTTGAAATAGGACCCGCTAAAGTTATATGATTGGAACAACTCATGTAAGTGAGAAAAGTTTGTGAAATTTGCTAGCTTGTATATCACTACTGTTAGAATAAAGCTGCTTATTCTCCTCAGCCTTCTCCCCTCTCCTTCTCTTGCCTGCTCCCCCTACACCCACTCTCTTTTCCAAAGTAATAAATTTAATTTTTTTTTTTCATTATAAATCATAAACCTAATGTTTTGGTCAATACCCCATGTGTTTTTCTTGGCGAGTAGAAGTAATTTAAAAAAAAAAAAAAGCATAGGAAGCAATGTTGACTACACCTGGTAGAAGGTCCAGTTTGGGCTTTGAGGTCTTCTCAGTATGTCAACCTGAAAGATCTATGTTTTTATTTTCACATATTGGTGTACTTCTCTGTTGATACACTGGAAAATAAGAAAAATGTACTTAACCATTGGGCAACAGAGATTTTGCCTATTTTATTTTATGTGATTTTTGCCATTATGACTCTTATTTTAAGACATGTTTTTGGATAATTATCTCTGCTTAGTATGCATCTTGTGATATGTTCTCAGTCTTTGGTAATTAGACACAATTTTAAAGATTAAAATTGAAAATATAATCAAATTGTGGAGGAATTACTCAATAGTAGTAGGGGTATAAGAACTACCAGTCCTTTCCTTTATGCAAACGATCTGATAGACGTCTTGAAAAAGAAGCATGCTTCTGGGACCTATAAAAGCATGGTAAGCTACAAATTTACTGTCATTTGCTAAATGAAATTTAACCTTAGTCTTGGTGAAATTAAAAATTTTGGACCACATCGCAGGTATTTTATCTTGAAGCTTGTGAATCTGGGAGTATTTTTGAGGGTCTGCTGCCAAAAGGTTTAAATATTTATGCAACCACAGCGGCTAATGCAGAAGAGAGTAGTTGGGGAACCTACTGCCCTGGAGAGGATCCTAGTCCTCCTGAAGAATACGAAACCTGTTTGGGTGACTTGTATAGTGTTGCCTGGATGGAGGACAGGTATGCACAACTTTTCTGATTTGCTAAGTTCTGATCTGTCATTGAAGAGGAAAAATTAAGTACCCAAAGGATCATGTTAAATAATATTAAAAGTAATCTTAACTATAATGCATAACCTTCAAAATTGAAGGAAGTTGTGTAATATATGGTTTGACTGAGTTGTTGAAAACTTATGTTGGAATTCAAATTACTTAAATATTTGAGTTGATTTCACGTCCACCCTAGATGACATGCATCTAACTTGAGCTATAAAAATACCATCTTATGCAACTTTTGCTTTGATTGGCTTGGCTCAATCATCTGATCATCGCTGTTTAGAAGTTATGTCATGTTGTGGAAATGAAAACTTGCTTGAACTATTCATATTGTTTAAATTTTCTGCTAGTGTTAATTAATTCTGACCTTGTGAACAGTGACACTAAGAATCTGCGGACTGAAACTTTGCGGCAGCAGTATGAACTGGTAAGAGCTTGTGACATGCGTCATTCTTTGAAAAGTTCAGTAAAAGCACATCATGTTTCTCTTAAAAAGTTTGGAAGTAGATGTTTGTTACCACATATGCATAAATTGGGGGCCTATAATTTCTTCATATGAATCACTAGTGCATAGGGGTATAGAGTTTGCGTCTGAAGGGTCGTCCTGGGCAAATTCTTAGATGTCCTCCTTTATATGTTATAGTCTCCAATTGATTTTATGCTATGTTTTCGTTTTCAGGTTAAAATGAGAACGGCAAACGGAAATTCTGCTTATGGTTCCCATGTCATGCAATTTGGCGATCTACAACTTAGCAAGGAAGATCTTTTCCTTTATATGGGCACAAATCCTGCAAATGATAACTACTCTTTTGTGAATGACAACTTCCTGCTGCCACCTTCAAAAGCTGTTAACCAGCGTGATGCTGATCTTCTACATTTCTGGGACAAGGTTTGCATACAACCTTTTGTGTATATCACATATCTAACTACTGCAATGCTTTTGCCATGTATATTTGTTGTTGCAAGTCCTTTTAAAAGATAGGTGTGATCTAGATTAGGATGCTGAGATTGGGTGAGTGGAACAAGTGTTGGAGCCTTGAAGAGTTGAGAAATAAGCACTATGGCAAAACCTTGAGGCTGCAGGCAGACCAACAGAACATCTACCAGAAGTCTCTTAGAAAAATAAGAAATAAATAAATCTCTTATTTAGCATTTCTTCAATAGAAATGGCAGGCACAGTCAGTTCTTGGAAACATTGGAACTACCAGAAGCAGCTGTTTAGCTGCTAAGACAAATACTGACATGTGCAAAACAAGATAACTGGTTAGGGTTGGATTTAAAGGGGTAGTTCAAGTTAATGCTTTAAAACTTTGAAGGTGAGGGAAAGGGAAAATTCGGCTGCTTTTAGCAATGAGGAGGGGGAGGTTATATTCGCACACTACAGAAATTCTAAGTTCACACCATTTTTTTGTTCGGATATGAACTTCCGAACAAAAATGAATTGTTTGGGTAGAAACCTTTTCGGCAGTTAATATTTGATTTGAATAACTGTTTTTTGTTTAGAAACAATTGTTTTTTGTTTAGAAACAATTTATTGGAAGTTGATGTCCGAACGGCACAAATGGTATGAACTGAGACAAAGTATGGTGTGAAATTAGAAGCTCCCAAGAGGAAGGGTGTGGGGTGGGGTGCTGGATAGGTCTCATGCTTTGATTGGTTGTGTTAGAACAATGAAATTTCTTCCTTTCTGTACCTGAACAGCTGTGTCTTTTCTACTGTTGCTGTTGACAGTTCCGCAAGGCTCCAGAAGGCTCTCCCAGGAAACTTGAAGCTCAGAAGCAGTTTGTTGAGGCCATGTCACACAGAATGCACATAGACAATAGCATGAAGATGGTCGGAAAGCTTTTATTTGGAATTGAGAAGGGTCCTGAGGTGCTGAATACTGTCCGGCCTTCAGGGCAACCTCTTGTTGATGACTGGGACTGTCTTAAAACTCTGGTAAATTTTCAGTTCTAACGTTATCCTTTATCAGCATTGTTCTTTTCCATTTTATCTTAATCGCCATAAATTACTCAACTCGGCTAATACCCCTATTTGACCTCAAAAGCTGCCCAAGAATGATGTTTAACGATATTTTGGCTCTGTTTGGATCTCCTAAATAAGCAGCTTTTTGGATAAAAATTCCGAGCAAATAAGCCTGTTAGAGATGGTTTCACAAATTTAAAAAAAAGAAAAAGAAAAAAAAAAGAGAAGTGTTTTAGCAAATTTATGAAAAGACAATTATACCCTCAACCTTTCAGGAATGGCACCTTGTCCCTACAAGGGCTCTATAATGCTATAAGGGAAATATGGTAATTTCTCACCAAAAAGTAAGTCTGAAAAGACGAAAAAAGTATAACATTTTAGCAATTATCAAACGCATTAGTTTTTTTAGATTATAAAAAAGTAAAAAAGTTACTAAAATTGCAATTACCAAATCCCCCTCCTTAGAGGGATGGAGATGGGGTTTCTGATTCAGTTGCTATCGTTATCCAGGGATAGAGAAAGAGGAAAATCATTATGCTACCCTGCCACAAGGAAGATAATTGTTTCAGACAACTCTTATATCTTGAGGCAATTAATAATTGCTTTTGGTGTGTTTTGTGCAGGTGAGGACATTTGAGACACATTGTGGATCACTATCCCAATACGGGATGAAACACATGCGCTCCGTAGCTAACATCTGCAATGCTGGAATCCAGAAGGAACAGATGGCTGAGGCGTCGGCACAAGCTTGCATCACCATTCCTTCGGGTCATTGGAGCTCGCTTCACAAGGGTTTCAGTGCATGATTTGAAGTAGGTTTGATCAATCTTAATGACCAACCTCCATTTGATTCTGTTCTCTATTATGTGTCGGGTGTTCTCTATACAAAGGTATACATGCCATAACTGTGCATTTTGCTCTGTTTGATAAGAAGCGGTTACAGTGTAAATACAGCCCTAGAAGCACTTCTGTATCAATCAAACTGATTTGTAGCAGACTATATATATGTATGTTCGCTTGTTATGTTACAATGCTTGGGATTTGGCTGTGGTGTGAATGTGTTTTATCTGCTAATCAGTGTGGAGTGTCAAGTTTCGATAGATTATTCTCCTGCTGTGGAAAATTTATTAGATATTATCCGATATTGTCTACATAGCATTCTCGACAAATGAAAAGTCACCGTACACGCTAAATAGGTCATTTTTTGTCTCTCGACTATCTAATCAGCATTTTTTGCTACGTGATTGATTTGGAACATTACATTAGCAATATCACATGATATTCTAGGACTACTGAATAGGTACCTTGTTGTCCGAGTCAGAAAAAAATGTGTAGGTCTTTGTTTTTGTGTTTCTCCCAGTTTTGATATTAAAAAAAAATTGAAAATGAAATTGTTCTACATTTTTTTTTCAGAATAGGATTAGCAATCAACTAATGACTGTAACCATGTACCCAAAGAAAAAACTCAAGACTGTAACCAGAATATGTTAACGATGTTGCTTTTAATAAGAATTGAGTTGGATGTAAAATATAGGTTTTAGTGTCTGATTGGGAAAAAAAACAAAAATTTGTTTTGGGGCCATAAGTTAAATTATTTTAAACCTTTGAATGTTTGGTAAATGCAATTCTTAAGTAGGCGAGGTTCACCTTTTTCTCTATTTTAAATGAAGTTCTTAAAAAAAGGGTATTTACCAACTAGTATCATTACGGTCCTATTGATTTTTTATACAGTAATAAATTTATTGGTCTTATGTTTATGAATAAATTTATAATGATAAATTTATCATTTGAGACATGTAAATAAATAAGTTTATTTAATAGGACCGACTGATAAGTCTTCTTAAAAAAAAAAAAATCTAACTATAGTCAAATAGAGTAGGGGTGAGCATGGTGGAGATTTGGATAAAATCAAGATCAATCTGTTATCCACAGTTCTTGAAAAATTGGAATTAATCCAATCTGTTTAAATTGTGAAATAAATTCGAATCAATTCATTTAAACATGGATTAGATCGGTTTAGAACCACAGATTCGCATAATTAAATAACAAAAAAAAATTTAAAATATAGAACATTTAAAAGCAATAAACAAAAGTAGCAAACAAAAATAATAAAACTGGATATACATTATACAAAACAAAGTTCTCTTTTGTATTAAAACTAAATATAGCATTAAACAAAAGTAATAAGAAAACTGGCTTTAGACAAATAAAAGCAACAAAACTCCACAAACAGAAGCAACAAATAATTGGAAATGATTAAACAATATTATCTATCTCAAGACCATGAATATGATACATGACATATGACATATCAATCAATGGCCAACAACAAATAAAAAGATAGAGATTATAATAAAGATATGATTCAATTATAAAACATGCACCTTTCTTTTTAGTGCACTAATTTTTTTATCAATACCTGGAAGAAGATCTGAAGGAGTTGAACATTGTGTTGAGTTTAAGAGAGGTGCAACCACAGCAGAATTTGCAGAGATAGCAAGGTCATTCAACTGAGATACCATTGGCTCAATAGATTCCAATCCCTGACTTGCATCTTCATCCAACATTTCATTCCTATCCGAGTTCTTACCCTTATCAAGAGCAGCCTGCACCAGTAACAGAGTGTGGCTTTTTAGCCTCTGTTAATGGGTTACATTTCAAGATGAAATGGAAACCAATAGTGTTAGAGAGAGAGAGAGACCAAGTCGCTAGCGATCTGATCTGAGATGGAATTCCATCGATCTGATCTGAGATGAAATCACAAGAATAGAGAGTGACATGGGTAAGCCCATAAAGGATATGGCCCACCACCTAAGGTCCAATTCATGATTCAAATACTATAGCCCAACACTCGTGAAACCTAGTGTTACACCAAACACCAATGACATCTAAACACTTGGCAGGTAGAGAATCACCCACATCAGCAGACAAAGATCCTACAAAGTTATTGCACTACACATCAACCATTAATGAGTTTTCCTGCAGTATTTATTGCGATAACCCCTCCTCGTCGGGACAGAATGGCCTCACCATGAACAAGGTAAGCTAGAGCATAGACTTTCGTCCAAGGTGACAGGTCAGAAGGGACAACGAAATGATTAGCAGAGGATATAAGCAGGCATCGAAGACAAGAAAAAGGTTAAGCTTTTCTATCTTCAATCTATCTCTACATCCCATCTCTCTCTATTCTAACTTGCTCGTCGGAGGGTTCGCTGGGGGACTTCCCGTTCCCCGTTGAACTCTTGTGCAGGTCTCTCTGTGGGTTGGGCTTCTCGGACACCAGTTGGGGAAGCGTGGAATGATTCGACCCACTCCGTTTGGAAACCTTTGCATCATCAGAGAGAAAGAGAGATAAAGTAAGAGACCAAGCCGCTCGCGATCTGATCTGAGATGAAATCACAAGAATATATATAGATATATATATATATATAGAGAGAGAGAGAGAGAGCTCATCGAGAGAGAGATAGAGCTCACCGATTTGATTTGAGATGAAATCACAAGAACATACCAAGAGAACTCAGTCTAAGAAAGAGAAGAGAGAGAGAATATCGAGAGAGAGATGAGAAGTGTGTGATAGGTTGAATTAGGGTTAGGGTTTACCTTTTATATGGAATAAGAAATGATATAATGTGGGAAAGTGTATAGTATAAATATAAACTATTGTATACGGTCCAAATTGGTTCCAATCCGAAACCGTGAGGTTCAATCCGAAATCAATCCGTGAACTATGGATTTTTAAATTTCTAATTCGGAATCGAAAAACAGATTCAAAAAACCAATTCAAACCTACCAGACTGGATTGAACCGGATCGGTTTACGGATTATACGGATTCCTTGCTCAGTCTTAAAATAGAGTGAGTGACTTTTCAAAATATCGAAGAAGTGGACCTAACCTAAGGGTTCATTTGGACAGTGGGTTGACTTTTTAGCTATTTTAGCCTGGGGCTAAAAAACCTCGTTTGGGAAGGATTTTTTGGATTTTTTGACTTTTTGTGAGAGAAATAATGTAATGATTATAGGTTAGATGTGATGTTTTGTCTTATTGAGGTAAAAAACCCATTTTATCTTTTTGTGACTAAAATAGCCCCAAACACAACCCAACCCAACCCAACCCAACCCTTCTTCCCAAGCGAAGCCTAAGTCTACTTTTAAAATTATTCAAACAATCCCCATTATGATTTTAGGATTTAATGTATGCAACTCATAGATTTAGTTGAACTTTTAATTTTTAATTTTAAGAGTTGGCCTAGTGGGTATAACTTGAGATTCGGAATTTGGAATGTGTTTCGTTTAGGGCTCAGTTCAATATTTACTACCTGTAATAAATTTCTTGGGTTAGTCCATACAAGGTAATATGGCCTAGACACTCGATTATTAAAAAGACAAATAGGATTAGTTGAACCAAAAAACAAAAAAAAAGGATTAGTTGAACAAATTAAGAAGTTTGAAAGGGTTAGATATGATGATTTTTGTGTTAATAAATCTAAGTTACTCAGAAAGAGATGAGAATTTTATCAAGAATTGGTGTATTATTGTGAAGTCTATACATAGATCATATCTAAATTATACATTAATATTTTTGCATAAAAGATTCGAGTATACAGTAATATTGTTTTTGTGTTTCTCATTCTCTGCCTGGCCAAGTATTGTTGTTGGGATTAAGAAAGTATGAGAATAATTATATTTTATTTAAATCTCAATTTATCTTTCTTTTTTTTTTGACACATAAATACAAACAAACACTATGGTAAGATTATGAATATGTTAGAAATAGTTTTGGAAAAATCAAATTTTTTCTCAACTTTGGTCTAATGTTTAGGTGGGACCTATGCATCAAAGTTGACGGGTCTAAGTGGTAACGCGTTCTATGCTGCGTTGTGATTTATGTGGTATATTTGGTTGCTTAAAACCATTATAGGGTGAATGTGAAATTGAAGCCAAAGTGAGCTCCACGAAAATGGTGTTTTTGGTCAAATTTCCATTAAGGTATAAAACAAGGCTTGTCCCACATTGCTTTGATCTTGGTGTGGGTTTATAAGGCTTGGGTTTGGAACTTGGGTTAGGCCACTAGGGGGACTCAAGTTTTGTAGAGGGGGAGGTTATGGACAAAGTGAGCTAAACCCATTAGACCCAAAACAAACACACGCGCGCCGCCGTCGTCCGGGCTGGGCTTGGGTGCGTGGTGTGAGGTTGGGCTTATTCGACCCAATACCTATGTTTTTGGGCAAAAAACATTTGAATTTATTTTTATTTTTTGGAAAAAATAAAATCTGTCCAGAAATTCAAATTTTTTCCTCTTTAAACAGATTCATATCTATTCAAGTTCAAACCCAACAGGTTCTTATCTCTTTGAAATAAAACCGAACAGATTCATAATCTTTTCAAAATTCAAACCAAACAGTTCCGTATTTGTTCATTCAAACCGAACAGGTTCTATACCTGTTCAAACAGGTTTGCTACCTATTGGATTCAAACCGAACAACCATCAAGTCATCTATAAATAGGCAGGCCTTCATTTGGTTTATTCATTCAATTTTTCGTTCTTCTCTGCTGCTGTTAATATCTGCATTTTGCTGCATTAGTTTTTCCTATGAGAAAGAGTATAAACATAAAGTGTGTTTGTTGTATGAATAATTTGTAGTGCTGCTATTATTCGTCGTTCATCATTTTATCCTGAGAGATAGACGTCCACAATTTGAAAGCATCGTGGAGAGGACAAATCTATTTTAAGGACATAGTGTTAAACACTAGACTTGATTAAAAATTTGTTCCAGAAAATAATAAGGTAAGTGCTTTGATTACTTTTCTATTTAATTATTTTTCCTGTTTTAGATTTTGATTTTGTTTTTATAACAAAATAAAAATCTGTTTTTATTTATTTATTTTTATACACTGTTTTGATTTTTGTAATCAAACAGTCTCTCTCTTTTCTTTAATCCATTCTTTGAATAAGCAAGAAGATTGTCTAACAATCTTAAGACCGTCCAATTTTCTGTGTCTTCATTGTATTAATTTTCTGTGCTTTTACAAAGTGA